TTTTTTTTTTTTTTTTTTTTTTTTTTTTTTTTTTTTTTTTTTTTTTTTTTTTTTTTTTTTTTTTGGATGCAGTATGGCTATACTTATTTTTTATTTTTTTTAGTTTTTTCTTTGGTTTGCTTGTTTTGTTTTGGTGCTGTTGTTTCTTCTTTTTTTCCTCTTTTTTTTTATTTTTTTTTATTTTTTTTTATTTTTTTGAGCTTTTTTGGGGTTTATTAGCTGCAATGAGTTAGTTTCTTTTACAGAGTATTAATTTATTTAATTTATATTTATTTATTTATATATTTATTTATATATTTATTTATTTATTTATTTATTTATTTATTTATTTATTTATTGTTGTGTACAGGCACTCTACCTACCCCGTTGGTGGTGGGGTTAGGTGCAGCATCTTCGCTTGCATTGGAGTGTATGGACAGCGACAGACAGCACGTGGAGCGGCTGTCTCGGTTGCTGCTGCAGCTGCTGCAGCAGCAGCTGCAGCACATCACCGTCAACGGCAGCCTCAGCAGCAGATACCCCGGGAACCTTAATATATCTTTTTCTTTTGTTGAGGGAGAAAGTCTCCTTATGAGTATTGGAGATGTAGCCATGAGCTCAGGTCAAACCACAAACCCTAAACCCTAAACCCTAAACCCTAATGCTGCTCTAAACCCTAAACCCTAGTGCCACTGTAAACCCTAAACCCTAAACCCTAATGCCGCTCTAAACCCTAAACCCTAGTGCCACTGTAAACCCTAAACCCTAAACCCTCAAGCCACTCTAAACCCTAAACCCTAATTCTAACGCCCCCCGAAACCCTAAACCCTAGGGCAACCGCCCCCGTAAACCCTAAACCCTATATTGCTTCGGCCGCCGTAAACCCTAAACCCTAGAGGTGCAGCCTGTTAAGAGGCAGATATTGTGGGTTACGATATGCATGCAAAGACATTGTTGCTCGCGAGGGTTTAGGGTTTAGGGTTTAGGGTTTAGGGTTTAGGGTTTTGTGTTGGGGTGTATAGGGAGCGCATGCACGAGCGAGTCTTTAGAGCCTTCTTACGTTTTGCGGTCGCTGGGTGTTGGAGAGGAGACAGCACACACATCCATACGCATAGGATTCGGTACATTCCTGCTGCTGCTGCTGCTGTTGCTGCTGCTGCTGTTGCTGCTGCTGCTGTTGCTGCTGCTGCTGCTGCTGCTTTTGTTGCTGCTGCTGCTGCTGTTGCTGCTGGGGATGCTGGTGGTGGTGGTGGTGGTGGTGTTTCTGTTTCTGGTGGTTGTCGGGGGGTGCTTGCTGCTGGGTGGCTGCTGCATGCGGCTCGCCCCTGCTGCTGCTGCTGCTGCTGCTGCTACTGCTTGTGCTGCTGCTCCATCTGACGCTGCTGCCGTTCCAAGAGCAGTTCCATCTGCATCTATTTCTGCTTCTCACACAACTCCTGCTGCTGCTGCTGGTGCTGCTGCTGCTGCTGCTGCTGCTGCTGCTGCTGCTGCAGGTCGTTTTACACGTGAAGAAGAGGTGCGGCACTGCGCTGAGCGGCTGGTGAAGGAAGTAAAGAGACTGCGGGAGATGTCTCCGCTTTATGAGGGCGCGATGGCTGCGGGAGACGGAACGGAGACACCCAAGCTTGTATGGACCTGAAGGGATATATATATATATATATATATATATA